CCTGTAAGTTTAAAATGTAGGGGGGGGGAGAAAAAAAAAAAAACATTCCAGCATGGGTAAATCTCTACGAATCGAATTTGGTTAATTTCTGCTGTAAAGCTACCACGTGGAAAACCTGTATCCTAGCTAGGGAAGGAGAAGAAGTTGTATTCGCTGGAAGGTACGCACGTAACCAAAACATGCCTTTGCTTTTCCAGCGTGTATGGCTTCTGCTGCTTATGGGGGGAAAAACGGCTTACTTGCGTTACCAGTGCAGCGCCCTGTGAGTTCGTTACTGAGTCGTGATAGCACTGGTGGGAAATATTTAGGTTGTAGTATGCTAACTTCCCCCCTCCCCATGTTTTAGCCTTTATTGAAGAACTTTCTCCTCACTCCAGTGCTGTCTTGTTTTCAAAACCCGAGGCCAAACACGAAAGTTGACATCTCCACATACAGTGCGGCACAAGCATTTTATGCTGAGCTTGCCATTTTGTTCTTTTGTATTGACCACTTGGAAAACAATGCAGTTATTAAGACAGTAATTCACCCAGCACAAATATATTATTGACGTCAACTAGTGGAAATCATTTCAGGAAAACTAGCCTAGGACTTTTACAAATAATTCAGAGATACGAGAGTGAAGAAGGAAACTATGATCTACTGGTGTATTCTTTTTTTCTTCCATCACTTCTATGATACATATATTTGAAGTCAAGAAGACAAACCTACTCAAGAGATGGGGCTCTTCCTCTTTGTCTGTGGCAGAAACCACATATGCAACTCTAAAGAAAAATGTAAAGCACAAATGATAAGTAACCAGGGTTAGCTTCTGTCAGACGCAGCTCTGGAAGCAGGTTATGTTGCCTGTTGTTTTCTTTCAGAACTGTCTTGCAAAGAATGTTTCTACAGCTCAGGTGAGACAACCATCTTCTAGCACATACTGAAGTTTGTCTTTTCAATGACAGAAAAGATGTAGTTAACTCTCCTTAACGCATTTATATATGTATAAATATTTTTGTATGTTTACATGTGATCAGCTGTTAACAACATACAGCATTCGAGGTTTCAAGTTAGTATTTTCTAAAATATTAGCTTTTTTTACTGGGGACAGGTGTGGAAAGGGTTACAGTAGACTCTGGCGAGTGTTTCCATTACTCGCCCTTGTCTCTTCCAGTTTTGCTGCTGGTTGTGACTGCGTCACAGTTCCCATGGGGGAGCTTCTGCCCAGGCTGGGACAAGTGCGAATTCATAGACTGGCAAGTTAGCTTGAGCCCTTAGTAAGGAGAAGGTCAACTTAAGGGGCTGGACCGTAAGCCACAAAAACGGAGATGCGGGCGTAAGTTATCATCTTCTTAGCCTGCTGTGAGGTTAATGGTTTCCATTGATACGGTGAAAGCCGTCACCTCTGAGGTAAGGTAATAGTAGTGAACACAAATGGCAGCTTATGACCACCGCTGAGATTTTTTTCTGTCCAGTGAAGCATGTTTCTGAGTGCTAGCTAGCCAGAACTTGGTATCAGTTTGCTTGGTGAGTGTGAACAGCATGTGCCAGTCTTCTGCTCCAGTAACCGCTTTCCAGCATTACGTTGGTGAAGTTGGCTGTGGACCTTTCAAGTGAGGGAAACTTCTGCGTTATCATTTGCATTGTTCTTCAGCTTGTAGTCTTCTGTGACTGTTCTTACCAGGTGTTTTCTTTCCTACCTGTCAAAGCTTCAGAAGCCCAGCTTCCTTCCCTCTTCCCAGATTGTTTTTGAAAACAAATTTTATGCTAGGTCTGTCTCTGCCATTCCCAAGTGTTTTCAACACTATGTAAAACTAACAGCGCCCGCAAGTTCTGTGCTTCCCATGAAACTCCAAGTACAGCATTCGTTTTCAACCTTTTATATTGTGAAGATCTTTCTTTAATAAAAAAAAGTGTACCTTGCTAAATATTGAGTTCAAACCCACTGAAAATAACCTTGCCTTCCTTAATTACTCTTGTGGTAATTAAGAGATGGTCCACATTCTCCCAGGGTGGGTCTTGTTGGAGAACTATTGAAACAGAATAAGGACAGAACTAGTGCTGGTTTCAGAGTCTTATGGTGCAAGACTGGTCTGTCTGCAAGCTTTGAAAGCACTTCATTAAACTACAGGCAGAAAAGTACAGTTATCTTCTAGGAGGCTTGCATGCAACTAAAACTCAATTTAAAATCTCACTGCCAACTTGCCAGAGTGAAGTTTTATAAACCCTTCCGATAGAGAATAACTTGATTTTTTTTTTTTTTTTGAAGGTAGGGTGTTGACTTTGTACCCTCTTCAGGAGATGGTGGTAAAGACTTGCTGTGCTGGTTAGTCCTTCAGAGCTGATGCATACATGCATGCACATGCACAAATGCAATTTGTGTCTAACATCTTCAGGTTTGCCCTTCTGTAATACCTCTAATGTGCATGCAAAGTGTCTTGTATTTTGCATTCTTGAAGATTATGCAGTGGAGCTAAGCATGTCTTTGTTATGCATAATGGCAGTGGTAGTAACATTGGTTTTGTTTTTGTAAATATCCAATGAAGATTTCGAGTCTGAATAATGAGAGAGAAGTATTTTTGTCAACTGAAGTAGAAATCATACTGTCAAAAATATAGAAACGTTTATGTTTTGGTATGGGAGTCTGCTCAGGATCTGCCTTTGGTTATTGGACTATGTCAATTACAGTGTGCAGCATTAGAAAACTTGTTTTGGGGGGACTTCTGGGGGGGAGCAGGGGGAGGGGAGTTTGAGCTGAGAAGCAGTTTCCATATTCCACTGATTCAGTATTCCTTCAACTTGGTGTGAAAATGCTATTACTTTTCACATCCAGGTAGTCTTGGATCTCAAAGTCGACTATAACGTTGGTCTAGCCCTCCCTGCACACACCCCTGAAAATACTTGAATTATCAAGTATTGATGATTACTGGGTAAAAAGAAGCTGTTGCTATGGTTCAGCTGTGATGCCACTGCCAAAATGTGTACAGAAGCTTGACTGGTGTATGAAATGTGCTCTACTATTTTTCCCTCCTTCCTCCTTATGGAAGGACACATCTTCTGCAAAACTAACACTCGGCATGAAAAAAATACAGACCATGTTCCTCTGAGCGTGTCTGTCCTGCTTGGTGAGATGGGGAATGAAATGGGGACGTATAGTGTCTTAACCAGTGAACAGGATTTAGCTGGAGCTGGTAGAAATAGCAGTTGTGGCTGTTGCTGGGTGCATTTGTAGTGTTGGGTCACTGTAATGTGTTTTTCCTTATCTTAGAACTTAGTTGGTTTATAGCAAAGTCTGTACAACTATGACAGCTACTGCCGACTTCACTCTTCTTCAAACTATGAGGCTGTACTTTTCATGAAACATTTTTACGGAAAGTTCTGGTTTATGAACACAGAACTGAAGGAATATATTTTAATATCTGAAAACTATATATGAAATTAATTTCCTATTTAGACAACTAACAGCAGGTTCACTGATCCCTGAATTAAAGTGACAGGAAGAAGTAGTGTGGTAGTGGTGGAGGGAGGAAGTTTGGACAGCTGAGAAAGCAGTGAAGAGGCATTTATTTTTGCTGAACTGGGATATCCAGAAATAGGTGCATGCTGTTCTTCAGATAGGCTGTGTGTTCAGCTCCTATTATTTGTAGCTTGTTGAATCACTCACGCTTGTTTCTCTTAAACAGAAACTGTTTGCATCAAGGACGCAGAATGGGTCACTATTTGGCCAATGTGCAAGAACATAACAAAATATTTTGCAAGCTTTCTTGTTTTTTTTTTTCCTCCCTTAAACAGAGCGTTTGCTGAAGATGACCTTGGAGGAGAGACGGAAAGAGTATTTAAGGGATTATGTTCCATTGAAAGATATTCCAACATGGATAGAAGACCTAAAAAGCAAGAATGAAAGTGATGGTAAGTAAAGTGGGGGAGCTTTTAAAATGGAAGCCATGCTGCTTTCTTAGCTTGAAGCTACTTTTAAGAGAATTGAGACTTAGAATCCCTATTGTTAATAATGATGGCAGTCTTATGTGGGGGCTGGGGGGGAGGGGAGGAAAACAATTTCTTAAAGCTTTACTACTATCTACTAACTCTGCAAGTATCACCAAAGAGACTCATAACACTTATGCCTTTAAGTTTGTAAAATAGGTATTCTTTGCATCAATTTTATTTGCACATACTCTGACTGGCAGCCGTGCCTGATGAATGTTGTCTTCAAAACTAAACTAGTACAGTGTTATGGGGAATCTGAGTGAAATAGTGTTGTTGTTGTAGGTGGCTGAAAAACAAAGTGTGCAGGCTGTGGTGCTTTATGAAAGTCCAGGAACAACAGAAGATTGGATTTGAAGTCTCTGTTGAAAATAGCATTTCTTACTCATGGTCCTACTTGCTTTCTTGGGCTGAGGAACATCAGCATGTCCTGGATAACTCCTCTTCTCATTGTGTGCAGCATTATCGTCTGGGTTCGGATCACCAGTAAACTTGTCCACATACACGTTTTTGCCCATCTTTCATTAAGTATCTGACTTACCTTAAAAAAAGGACTATGTGGTTTAGGCAGTTGTGAATGTAACTTTAAGACTGCCTCGTTCTTGTTCTCCTTCATCTCCATATGTATGGAAGAGGAGGGACTCCTTGATCTGATCTCCTCCTGCTTTTTCTTTCTATGTCTTGTTATCCTACAAAGCTTATTCTTGGAATGTTACTACCAGGACTGAAGTGTCCTCTGCTGCCAGTCTTCCTACTCCTGCAGATACAGGACTAGTTTTTCAACCCTTTTGTTATCATTAAGAGCGAATACTGGCTCAGATGAACAAGTGCGTGGAGCAGTCTTGTAACTGAAGGAGAACATGGTCTTTCTGGTAATATTCCACAACGAGATGTAGCCTGGAACTAATCACCTGTTTTTGACGAAATGGGAAGGCTGTAACAAACTTTCTTCAGTGCAGTCTGGACAAGCTAATAGACTTGCAGGTGCCAGTTTCATAGACATGTAATGCTATCATCTATTCCTAAAAGCATCTTGAATGATTTTTGAAGCGAAAATCGATATCGAAAGATGCTGAGCTCTTCAGCTCTGTTTGAGAGAAATAGTTGTATTACAACAGTAGCTGTAGACCATTGCAGTAGCTCTTTTGTATCTTACACATCAAGAAGCTTGTCCACCTAGAAAACAAAGGCTGCATAAAAATGCATCAAAAGATTACCTGACTTTTCATTTAGGATGTCTTTGATGCATGGGACTATTCGGTCTGTCTGTCCTTCCTATCCTAAACTATGTTTTTCTTTCTGACTACTGTAGAGTTCTGGGTAACTTGCTAAATTTCACAGATCTGATTCTGCTTGAGCTGTTTAATGTGACAAGGTGTAGATTTACATTGTGGTTGTTGTTATACCTTTCATAAGTAAAAAGTCAGGGTCTAATATGTAGGTACAGAATCATGCCAGTGGTGAATTTAATTTATTGTGCATTCTCTTGCATTCTTGCTGTTAGTACCTAGTACCCTGCAGAAATGCTGGAAGGCAGAAGCTGAGCTGAAACACTTTTCTTTCTTCTTTTTTTTTCTTCTCTGCTACTTAAAGCTTTTGTTGTACTGTTTATTCAGGAGAAAATATCCATAGTCGCTTGTTTTCTTTTATACATTTCTTCAAAATAAGCCGTGTGGAACAGTGAACATGTAGAAGATCAGACTGAAGTACTTCCACATTTCAACTGATCAGCGCAATTAAAAGAAGTTTGTATATTAATGTGACTGCATCTGCTTCAAACTTCATTTCCCTTAAACGTTGACTTCATTCTGAAGGTATCAAGAGCATGTAAGAGCTGTCCTTCTGAACTGAAATACTGAAAAATTAGAGTTGAGGTCTACTTGCTGAGGAGAACTTCTGCTTTATCTACTGGGACATATAAAGGACAACCAGTACAGTCTAAAGAAGACTGTGGAGGGGGCAAATGAAGCCTTTATGATGAAGTCTTTGGTGGCTTGAAAATGTCATGGCCAAGTTCTGCTATTTTCTTCTAGTGAAAGGCTACTTCTTGCACTGACAAACTAGGCAGCCTGAAGAGGAAGTGTGTGTGGGGGGGGAAGATTAGTACACTTGACAAGCCAAGAAAGCAACTGATGAGGAATGGGGAGAAGTTCTCTACCATTTACTCCTAACACTGTGTATACTGTGAATAAATGACAGATTGATTAGCAAAGTGTTCAGAAAGAGTGATGAGGAGAATTCAAGGAAGGAACTAAGAACAAATACACTGAAATAGGTGTGATCAACCACCTGCTGGAGTAAGAGGTTCTAGGAGAAGGGGAGAGCATCTGGTGCCAAAAGACAGAGTAAACTAACTGGGAATGTTGTTCAGTACAGATTTTTGGACTGACTTTTTTTCTGACTAAAAGTCAAAAATCATTGGATGAACAGTACAAAAGTTCTATGCTACCAGTTTTTCCATGTGAATGACTTAGTGGAGTGTGCTAGGAGATTCCAGTTAGGCATACCTTTTTATTATCTGGAAGTTCAACAGATGAATATTGAGAAGTTTTTGTGTGGAACTGCTGAAACAGAAATAGTTTCTAATTGTAATGATAGAAAGGAACTAACCTGACTGCTAGAGTGGCTTTTATGTGTTTTTTATTGAGAAGTTTGTAGAACAACCTTAGTTTGCGGAGGAGAGCATTTAGCTACCACACCCTTTGGCATGAAATGGCATTCAGAATTAAATTGTGAAGACTACTAGTGAAGCCTGGTGTAAAGCTGATCTTAAAGTAAATTTTGGCAAGGCTGGAAACCTTTATAATTGAGGGATGCATAGTGTTCCCCTGTGCTGTCCTTCCC